TAAGGGTAAGCTAGTTGATCACATTGACTTTGGGCAGAGTTTTTAAATTCTGTAAAATTAAATGTCTAGTCTTCCTACTAAAGAGATTCTATAACATTTTCATGATAATCCTACTGGATATCAAAAGAATTATGCTTTTATCATGCAACATATCAGTCAGAATATAAAGAATGTTATGTTTTATTTCAATTCCCTATGTATTACAATAGACCAACTAGCATGAGGGGACATAGGGATTTCTGTCCTTGGTACAGTCAAATTTATCGTGAAAATTATATTGCCTCATTTTGTGAGCAGTATATACATCTTTGTAAGTGGCCCTAAATTCTTTTGGACCAGAAGAGATATCACTAGCAAAAAAAAAATAGGCAAAATATAATAAATTAATAAAAATAATAAATTAATATACTATTCTTTTACCCCTAGGGATATATATAAATGATCCTCCTGAACATTAATATATTTTAATGTATCATAATAACTTGCTTGAAACATTCAATGAACTGGGCTTCTTATCTTTGTAGCTCACAGCTTGAGAATTATGAAATCTGGAGTTTAGCTGACACACTGTCACTAGCTAGACAATACTGTCACTGGCTGTGTTAACATACTTATACTGGCCATGTCACTACACCTGTCTCTATGCCTCTGTTCTGTTATTCCAAAGAAATGAGAATAACATCACCTTTTGGCCCACAGTAAGAACTCAGTAAATTTTGGCTATCATTACTATATCCTTCCCACTTACAGAATTTTAATGTAAGAATTGACTGAGATGGTGAGTTTGCAAGTGCTTTAGCAAGTATATAATGCAAAACATTACTATTACTTTTCTGTTTCTCTTTCCTTTCTCCCACAGTAGACTGGGAACACATAGTAATAGAGATTGGATCTATTCTGAAACTTCCACTGGTGTTCAGCAGAAGGCTCTGCACACAGGGAGAACTAAGGGCAGGGTTTTTTTTTTTTATTGGTAAAGAAAGAACAATCACACACAGTTCTCCAGACAAGAATGCTTGCCAGTTTCCCTGGACATTGAAATTGCTTTTTCTCCCCCAGGGAAACAGAATATGCAATGAAATTCAACAACTTCCTGGATCCCAAATGAACTTTGACTACCTCTCCTGCTGCTTTGTCTTGTTACGTAAAGGAAGCTTCTGTTTAGATGTGGTTTCAGGTGAATTCTAACTCCAAGAGAGAATCATTTTAATACCCTAATACAGCTCAGCTTGAAGCTCCGGAGGCCAAGGAAGAGAGCCAAAAGAGGGAGGCCATTCGTGTCAGAGGCAGAATTGAATCTAAGGACTCACCGTGGATGGCTTCTTTGGAGGGCTGGGAGGTCGACGTGGTACCTCTTCAATGGAGACAGGTGAAAAAAGAGTTTCCTTGGACTCATTTTTCTGGAAGGTATTCATGACTGGCTCCTTACTCTCTCTCTCTCCTCGAGCATTTGGCTTCAGTAGGCAGTTAGGACAGCTGCCAGCCTACTCTGAAAAGGGGGACTGGGAGGGGGAGCTGGTGGCTTCAGCAACTGAGTTTAACTCTGTGGGTGTCAGCTTCAATAGCTTCCTGATCCAGAGCAAAGCAGGAAGCTATAGTTCAAAAGAATGTGTAAAAGGTACAGCATAGCAAAGTGAAAACATGCCAAAAATAGAATGAAACAATGATAGAGAACTGATTAGAAAATCTATGCTTAAGAAAGATTATCTTTGCAAAGGAGGTCAAGATAACTAAGAACACAACACTTCAAGCACAGATTGAATTTAGCTGGGCGTGGTGGCTCACGCCTGTAATCGCAGCACTTTGAGAGGCTGAGGTGGGCGGATCATGAGGTCAGGAGATCGAGATCATCCTGGATAACACGGTGAAACTCCGTCTCTACTAAAAATACAAAAAATTAGCTGGGCATGGTGGCATGCACCTATAGTCCCAACTACTTGGGAGGCCGAGGTAGAAGAATTGCTTGAACCCTGGAGGCAGAGGTTGCAGTGAGCCAAGATCTTGCCACTGCACTCCAGCCTGGGTGACAGAGTGAAAGTCTGTCTCGAAATAAAAAAAAAGAAAAGAAAAACTGATTTCAGGCTAAGAATAACCGTAATTTATTGACCATCTACTATTGAAAGGTTAATATATATGAATTACATATATGTTGTATGTATATATAACATATGTTTATTCTAATTAATATTACTATCCCCATTTTAAAGAAATTAATGTTCCCAGAGCTAAAAAATTTGTTCAAAGTTACTGTCCAGTAAGTGGCAGATCTGGAATTTTCACTATGTCATGACAGCTGGGAAAGGTGGAGTTAGTAATGACTTGGGCCATTATTCAGTTATGAAAATTATAGAAATGGAATGTAGGAATACAGCAAATTTAAATGCATCGGAGAAGGAAGGTCATCAGAAACTGAATTTGGGAAATAAGAAAGATGCTGACTTTAGACTGGGTGCGATGGTTCACGCCTATAATCCCAGCACTTTGGGAGGCTGAAGGGCACAGATCACAAGGTCAGGAGTTCAAGATCAGCCTAGCCAACATAGTGAAACCCAGTCTCTACTAAAAACACGAAACTTAGCCAGGTGTGGTGGCACATGCCTGTAGTCCCAGCTACTCAGGAGGCTGAGACAGGAGAGTTGCTTGAACACGGGAGGCAGAGGTTGCAGTGAGCCAAGACCCCACCATTGCACTCCAGCCTGGGTGACAGAGCAAGACTCCATCTCAAAAAAAAAAAAAAAGAAAAGAAAAGAAAGATGGTGATTTTTGTTTTGTTTTCAACATCTTAAAAGTTCAGCTAGAAATAGCCTATAAGCAATTAAAGAAGTGGGGCTAAAGAAAATGAGAGAAAAGGATTGATGATATACGTTTAGGTACCATTTTTCTTCTTTGCAAGTTATTCCTTTTATTTTCATTTTCTCACTTCAAGATTAATCAATCTATTCTTTCATTTAAAAAATAAAATTTAATTTGAGCAAAAATTGTGAACCAGTTGCTTTCTAGGTACTGTTGTGAACAACTATTTTTCTTAATTTTCAGTGAGTAAATTCCCTAATGACTCTAGAATATGTATTTAGTCCTTATCAGAAGAGGAACAAGAACAAACATGATAATGCTATGTGCACTTTATGCTGTGTTACTTTTATGAAGTTAAAGAAGTAAAAGAGTAACAAAAGAGCAGGGTGCCCCTCTAGTTGTTTGTCCAAAGACAAGAAAAAAGAAAGGCTAGAGAGCTATAAAAGAAATAAGAAAAATGAAGACTAAATTAACAAGGTCAGGTAACATCAGAATGGTTTTATTTGAAAATACAAGAGAGAAAACCTATAACTCTATCCCTCGCAAAATTTTTACATTAACTATTTGAATAATTTATTGACAAATAGGACCAGGATAAACTCTATATTTTCCTCTTTAAACTTTAACTCAGGCTTTGACCATATCTTCTCAGCTCCTATTACACTCCGCATTTCTACTGTCTACCACCAATCTTTACCCAGAGAAGAGTCCAGCTTCATTTCTGACTGGCATTAATGATTAAGCATAGTTATTCTTTCAGGAATCTAACCTGGTTTGGTTAGTGACTTTGGATGCAAAAATAAACAGTCAGAAGTTACGAGTCAAGTTAACTAGCAGAGGTACAGATGCCTTGAAGATTCACTTATGTCCATGGCTTTCCTTGATCTGGCAGAGTAGATGGAATAGCACCGTATGCAATGTACCAATTTATTTGTGCTCATAGGTATCCCAAATACCAAACTTTGGAGTATTGGCAGTGGTTTTCTGACACTCCTTTGTGTAGATGAAATTCTTCTTTTAATTATGGTAATATAATGACAGTATTCACAGAATCAAATATCAGAGGTGGAAGGAATCTTAACCTTGTCTTATGTAAATGAAACTTCTCTGAGGATAAGCATCATTTTCCCTTGGAAATTCTGATTCAGTAGACCTCTGTAGGGATCTAAAAATCTTTGTTTTCAAAGTACTTCTAGCAATTCTTATGCTAGGAATTTGGGAAACACTGGTTTTAAATTCTCTCCTATTCTAGCCTGAAGGATATTTCAGAACTCAGAAGGGACAAAGCAAAGACTGGAACCAAATGCTCCCAAGGCATTTATATAATATTAAGATGGCTCTTATATCCTATTATTTTGCTAACATCAAATAGAAGGAAAAAGAGAAAAGATGAAAGAGAAATGAGCACTAACTATTCAGAGACAAACAACAATAAAAGCTAAAGAATCTAAATATCAGTGATGAGTAAAGAATATTTGTGTCCTTAGCGATTACAACATCAGATAACATTATGACATATGACAAAGTTTTACAGTTATATACACATAAAAGTAAACTGTCACTCTAAGTTAATAGAATCTAATATAGTCAGAGAGAAGAGGAAAATATAAAATTAAAAGGGAACATATGTTTAACAAGGTCTCTAAATATAAAATACACAAAAATAAATTGTATCAAACATCTGTCACAAAGATTTAGAAAAGGGAAATTTAAAGAATAAATTTATGTCTTTATTTATATAAATAGATTCAGGAATAAATCTAACAAAAGATCTTCTAGACCTCAATACTAAAAAGTAAAAAATTTTACTGAAAGAAATTGAAGATCTAAATAAATGGAAACATACCATACTCATGATTTGGAAGGCTCATGATATAAAGGTGTCAATATTTCTCAAACCATCTACAGTCTTTTTTTTTTTTTTGAGACGGAGTTTCGCTCTTGTTACCCAGGCTGGAGTGCAATGGCGCAATCTTGGCTCACCGCAACCTCCGCGTCCTGGGTTCAGGCAATCCTCCTACCTCAGCCTCCTGAGTAGCTGGGATTACAGGCACGCACCACCATGCCCAGCTCATTTTTTGTATTTTTAGTAGAGACGGGGTTTCACCATGTTGACCAGGATGGTCTCGATCTCTTGACCTCGTGATCCACCCGCCTCGGCCTCCCAAAGTGCTGGGATTACAGGTTTGAGCCACCGCGCCCGACCTCATCTACAGTCTTAAAACAAAATCCCAGCAGGTTTTGTGAGTATAGAAACTGACTAGGTGGTTTTGTTTTTTTGAGACGGAGTTTTGCTCTTGTTACCCACGCTGGAGTGCAATGGCGCAATCTCGGCTCACCGCAACCTCCGCCTCCCAGGTTCAAGCAATTCTCCTGCCTCAGCCTCCCAAGTAGCTGGGACTACAGGCATGCGCCACCAAGCCCAGCTAATTTTTGTATTTTTGGTAGAGACGGGGTTTCACCATGTTGACCAGGATAGTCTCTATCTCTTGACCTCATGATCCACCCGCCTCAGCCTCCCCAAAGTGCTGGGATTACAAGCGTGAGCCACCGCGCTCGGCCACAAGTTGGCTTTTAAAAGTCAACATGAAAGTGCAAAGAGCCAAGGATAGTGTTGTACCTGACCGAGTCAAGGAATGCGCCACACTCTGAGATTGAATTATGAGTCCTTTATTATTCCGGTGACTGAGTGGTGGCTAACGCCCCAAATTCTCTCAGCCCCTCAGAAAAAGTTAGGTGGTCTTTTATACCCTAATTTTAAAAGGGAGATGGAACCTAGCGGAAGCAAATTTTTCACAGAAGCAGAGTAAGCAAAAAGTTAAAAGATAAACTAACACATGAGAAATAAAACAGTTCCAGGTTCGAGGGGTAAAGCTGTCATGAAAGACATAAAATTTATAGATAATGGGGGCTCTGAGTGCTCAAGAGCACCTGCATTCCCACGCTCTGCTGGTACCACTTAACTGAGCCTCTTATCAACAAATGCATTGCTGGAGGTGCCCAGTGTCAGCCTGCCCCAGCTACATACTACAGTTACATACTTAATGGTATTTTAATAACTAAAATGAAGAAGCTAAGATGGAGTCTGTCCCGCTCAAGAAGCTAACATAAAGCTTGAACAGCTTTTAGTCTGAGAAAGAGAGTTAGTTTTAGCTGGCAAAAAAAGCAGGTTATCACAATAGCAAAGTGAATCTTAAAGAAGAATAATGGTGGAGGATTGTACTACCCAATCTAAGGCCTCAATACCAAAGTGCAATACTATTTTAAAGCTTATAGCTTTAAAAAAAGACAATTTACAGAGGGGGAGAAAATATTTGTATTACATACATCTGTCAAAGAATTTGTGTCCAGACTATATAACTGCAGAAATCAATAACAAAAAGATTAATAAGTAAATGAAAAAATACTCAAAAGATTTGAACCCGTAAGCAGTGGCTCATGCCTGTAATTCCAACATTTTGGGAGGTAGAGATGGGCAGATCACCTGAGGTCAGGAGTTCAAGACCAGCCTAGACAACATGGTGAAACCCTGTATCTACTAAAAATACAAAAAATTAGCTGTGTATCATGGTGGGTGCCTGTAATCCCAGCTACTTGAGAGACTGAGGCAAGAGAGTTGCTTGAATCTGGGAGGCGGAGGTTGCAGTAAGCTGAGATTGCACCATTACACTCCAACCTGGGTGAAAAAGCAAGACTCTCTCTCAAAAGAAAAAAAAAAAAGATTTGAATGGATATTTCATAAAAAGAATACCCAAGTAGCCAATAAATCTGTGAACAGGTTATCAACTGTATGGAGGTAAAATAGAGTTCATTTAGTTAGTCCTATATTGATGCATACTCAGGTTCAGTCTTGTCAAAGGAAAATATCTTGGGCCTCTTCAAGCTGGGAATCGCTCAGGGCAAATCTGCCTCCTTTGGAAAGACTTACCAGAAACTCAAAAGAATGCGACCATGTGTCTCTCACCTTCCTATGACCTGGAAACCCCCAGTTGGGGGGCCTTGCTTTGAGTTGTCTCCATTTTTCTGGACAGAACTAATATACTTCTTACATATGTTGATTTATGTCTCATATCTCCCTAAAATGTATAAAACCAAGCTATGCCCCAACCACCTTGGGCACATGTAATCAGAACTTCCTGAAGCTGTGTCACAGACCTTGGTAAAATAAGCTTTCTAAATTAACTGAGACTGTTGGGCCTGTACTCCCAGCACTTTGGAAGGTTGAAGCAGGCAGATCACTTGAGGTCAGGAGTTTGAGACCAGTTTGACCAACATGGTGAAACCCTGTCTCTACTAAAATTACAAAAAATTTACTCAGGTGTGGTGGCAGGTGCCTGTAATCCCACCTATTCAGGAGGCTGAGGCAGGACAATCATTTGAACCTGGGAGGCAGAGATTGGGGTGAGCCAAGGTCCTGCCATTGCACTCCAGCCTGGGCGACAAGAGCAAAATTTCATTTCAAAATAATTAATTAATTAATTAATTAACTGAGACCTGTCTCAAATTTTCAGGTTCACAGTCTTTTTTGATTGTAAGTAATACTGCAATAATAACATTGCACAGAAGTTAAATATATCTGTAGGGTAAATTTCCATAAGTGAGACTGCTGAGCCAAAATACATGTTTTTATAATTTTTGGAACTGCCTATTCATCTTCTTTGCCCATTTTTCTAGAGTTGTTTGTCCCCTTCTTGTAAATTTATAAGATCAATTTAAACATTATTGATATTAATGTTCTGCCATCCTCAAAATTTGCAATATTTTTCCGTTTGATTTTATTTATGGACTTTTAAAATTAAATGTAACTTGAAGTAAAATGAACAAATCTTAAGTGTACAGCTCTGTTAAATTTTATATGTATGTAACTTACACAAGCACTACCCAGATAAGGTTAAAAAAAGTTTCTAGCATCTCAATGCCAAAAGTCCTTTAGAGGTAATACCACTGCCTCCCTTCTGCCTCCCAATCAAACCCTCCTCCCTCAAGGCCACTGTTCTACAAAATGGTACTCTGTGTGGCCAAAGACTGGAAAGATATTGTATCCAAACACTTTGGGCCAATAAGACTTTGTCCTTTGCTAATAGATCTGTATGTGTAAGGGAATACATTCAAAGAACATGTTATTTTCAAGTCTTCCCAAGTTTTATTTTTTACCAGGCCCTTTTGGGTATACTATGCACATGCCTCAGGGTTGGTCAGGAGTGTGTGAATAGCTTGGGCCATCTCTGGTTTCTGCTGCACATGTACCCAGTCTCAGCCTGAAACATGATTCCCCCAACTAGGATTGCAGCTTCAGGGTAGTAGGGCCAATAAGCTCTTGGCCTTCCCTCCCTAGTCAGCATCCCAGGAGTCACTTTTACTTAAAATGTTCTGGGCATGAGTGTCAACAGAACAAATTGAGTGAGTTTCCTTTAGGAGACAGAGAAGGTGCCAGTCCTGAAAATATTAGATAGTTATCAATCTTTTTATACTATATTTTTATTATATTTTTTTCTATTCTTGAGTTCTTTTGATTCATCTCTTGATAAATTAGAAATTACTAAAACAATTATTATAGAAATGATAATTGAATGATAGAATTCCTGAATTTTCATATGTCTAAGAATACCTTCTTACCAAGCTATGGATGACATCTGATGAATATATAATTCATAGGTCACATTAATACGCTTGCACAGATGCAGCTTTATTACCTTTAGAGTTTAGTGTTATAGAATAATTCAGAGTCCTTTGATTTTTGTTCTTTTGTAGGCAACTTATTTTTTCTGCTTGCATGATTACATTACCATCAGTTTCAGGACAGATCAAATTAAAAGCACATATGTTTAGAATCATGTCAGGATCATCAGTTGTTTCTGGCAGAGAACCTTTTATCTGAGAACTTATCTAATTGATTAGCTCCCTACATTTTGGTATCTGAAAACACATCAAATAAGAACATACAAAAACATGGGAGATATGATTTCATTCCTTTCTCTGAGGTACTTATATATACCCTTGTGTGGTATAAAGAATGATATACTAGGTATTCAATCTATTTAAAAGGGTCTTTAAGAATATTTCACTTATGAGGGAGATAATAAGGAGGGGGAATGATGTACTGAATATGTACTGTTTAGCTTGCTGTAATTTTGAAAACATAATGCATGTTATATAGCCAGCTTTATCAGCTCATATCATCATGTACTCATTTCTGGTAGCGTTAACATCAAAAAGAAAAGTCAGCATAACAACTTTCAGTAAAAAGCATTATGATTACTATATTAAATGATAAGCATGTTTCATTGGCCACTTTGAATTATGAGCTTGCTTTAGTTAAGTAATAAATAACATAGTTGTCTTAGCTAAGAATTGATAAATAAAATAGAAATAAAAATAAAGACAGTTTAACTAAAATTAGGCTAGAAAGAGAAAAGGAAAAAACAAGATTAAAATAAAAATGTATAAAATAAAAAAACCCCCAAATTCCAAAGGTAAGAAAGTGAAGTTGAATTTAAAAATGTTTCATAATTGACAAAACTTGGGAGCAACCAAGATGTCCTTCAGTAGTTGGGTTGATAAATAAACTGTAGTACATCCAGACAATAGAATAGTATTCAACCTTTAAAAATATGAGCTATCAAACCATGAAAGACATAATGAAATATGCATGAAACCTAAATGCATATTATTAAGTGAACAAAACTAACCTGAAAAGGCTATATTCTGTATAATTCCAACTACATGACATTCTAGAAAATAAACTATGGAGACAACAAGATTAGTAATTGCTGGGGGGGAAGAGGAAAGGGAGGGATAAATAGGCAGAGCACAGGATTTTTAGGATAGTGATACTATTCTAAATGTTACTAAAATATAGATACACATTATTATACATTTGTCAAAAATCCATAGAATGTACATCAAGACTGAATCCTAATGTAAACAATGGACTTTGTGTAACAATGATCTACCAATGTAGGTTCATCTGTTTTAACAAACATGCCACTCTGGTGTGGGATATTGATAATGGAGAGAGAAGAAATAGGACCTTCTCAACTTTGCTATGAACTTAAAACTGCTGTAAAATATAAAGTTTTATATATATAAAATTATATTTTATAGCAGTTTATATATATAATTACTTTATATTTTATAGATATATAAATAAAAAATATATAAATATATATGATATATATAAATATGTATATAAAGTTATATATACAATATATAAATATAGATACATAAGGTTTTATATATATAAAGAAATGTTCTAACAATGGGGCCTCAAAAGAAAAAAAAGAACCTACTGGTCAGTGGTTTTCTATCATTCCTACATCTATCATTCTGCCAGTTAAAAGATATTTTATTATACATATAAATATTATTTATCCCCTTAACACTTAGTTGCTTATTTCTCTCAAAAGCAAAATAAATTGATGAAAAATATTGCAAGAGATAACAGAACAGTTGTTACATTAAAATAATTATTTAACTTAATCTTTCTCCTGAATTATAGCTTAATTGTATCAAAAATTAAAGTATTTTGAGCCATAATTTAAGGAATATCAGATAGAAAACGCTCAGACAGGAAGCCTGAGATGAAAGCTTTATGACCCTGTCCCCTGTCTCTACTAAAAAAAATAAAAAATAAAAAAAAAGGAAATTAGCTGGGCATGGTGGGGTGCCTAGCCATAGCCACTCTGGAGGCAGGAGGATCACTTGAGACCAAGGAGCTTGAGGCTGCAGTGAGCTATGATCACACCACAGTACTTCAGTTTGAGCAACAGAGTAAGACCCTATCTCAAAAAAAAAAGGCTTGGAGATACAAAATTATAAAATTAAAACCATAAAACCATGGACATTTATTAGAAATCAATAGTTTTGCTATTTGACAACTGGAGACAGCAATTTGGTAAAACAGAACACTAAACTTAGACTCTAAAACACCTGATCTGCCACTTAACTAATACTATGTGGAACAAGTTACCTAACCTGCAAGAGGTTAAAAATATAACATCAGACCAAGCTCAGTGGCTCAAATCTAAAATCCTAGCACTTTGGGAAGCCAAGCCAGGAAGACTGCTTGACCCCAGGACCTTGAGAGCAGCCTGGGCAACACGTCAAGACCCCATCTCTACTCCCCTCCCCCCAAATAATTACCTCGGCATGGTGGTGCATGCCTACAATCTCACCTATGGGAAGCTAAGGTAGGAGTCCCCAGCTGCACTCCAGTCTGGGCGACAAAGCAAGACAATGTCTAATAAACAAATAAATAAATAACACCAACTGAAATTTCTGAATCAAATTTAATTTCTTTTCTCATCAAAAGTTAAGACATATTTCCCGGGCCGGGTGTGGTGGCTCATGCCTGTAATCCGAGCACTTTGGAGGCCAAGGTGGGTGGATCACCTGAGGTTGGGAGTTTAAGACCAGCCTGATCAACATGGTGAAACCCCGTCTTTAAAAAAAAAAAAAAGAAAGAAAAGAAAAGAAAAAGGAAAAAAGACATATTTCCCTCGGTCTTAGGAATTTTTATTCTTTTTTTTTTTTTTTTTTGAGACGGAGTTTCGCTCTTGTTACCCAGGCTGGAGTGCAATGGCGCGATCTCGGCTCACCGCAACCTCCGCCTCCCAGGTTCAGGCAATTCTCCTGCCCCAGCCTCCTGAGTCGCTGGGATTACAGGCACGCACCACCATGCCCAGCTCATTTTTTGTATTTTTAGTAGAGACGGGGTTTCACCATGTTGACCAGGATGGTCTCGATCTCTTGACCTCGTGATCCACCCGCCTCGGCCTCCCAAAGTGCTGGGATTACAGGCTTGAGCCACCCCGCCCGGCCAGGAATTTTTATTCTTAATACGAAATAAATTATACCTGCTGTGTAAATTTTTATTTATAGCTAAACATTTCTTCAGTCATCACTGTCACTTCCTGATTCACTCAGCTGCAAATCATTTCCTAAAATAAAAAGAAATAACAAAACTGTAGTAATTAAATATATAATATTTATGTTTGCATAACAAATTTTACACAAAATATAGCCCCCAAGTGTGATTCTGTTTCGCTAACACTTTGATTATTCTGTAATTCAGTGACACAGTTAGTTACTCAAATAATTGATACTGTGTGTAAAGAAAAAATATACCATCAAACTTCAGCAGTTTTAGTATTTCCTGGCTATCTATTTTAGTGTTTTTTCCATACCCCCATCACTCTTTTTTTACATCACTGATTTAATTAAATCAGGAAATGAGGAAAATGTTTATAAGATCAGACTATATATTTTGAAGAGTGAAAAAAATGTTTTTGTTTTTGTTTTTTTTTACTTAAAATAGAGTCAAAATAATTAAGTAATACATGTCAATAATAACGCATTGGCTGGCTGTGGTAGCTCACGCCTGTTATCCCAGCTCTTTGGGAGGTTGAGGCAGGAGTATCACCTGAGGTCAGGAGTTCAAGACTAGCCTGGCCAACAGAAACCCTGTCTCTATTTAAAAAAAAAAAGAAAAAAGAATAACTCACCATTTATTCCTTTTGTAATTCATCTACGTACTTACAGTCATGGAGCTTACAGTTCAGTGGGGGAGACAGACAGTAAACAAATAAACATATATAACATAATGCCAAGTAGGGGTAAGTGCTATGAAAAAATGAAAATGGATATGGAGATAGTGATGGCAGGTGCTATTTTAGATAGGGTAGTTTTGAAGGCCTTTTTGAGGGGTGACTTTTGATCAAAGATCCAAATATAGGAAAAAAGTAATAAAAAATGCAGAGAGTGGAGGTGAAGTGACCAGGCTAAAAGAACAGAAGTACAAATGCCCCAAGGGAAGAACATACTTGCATTCTCGGACTTGCAAGAAGGCCACGTAGCCGGAATGGCATTAATAAGGAAGATAATGGTAGTAAATGAGATCAGAAAGATATCCAGAAGATCACAGTAAAAACTTTAGATTTGTTTGAAAATGTAATGAGAATTCATGAGAAAATTTTAAGCAGGCAACTAACTTAAAGCTGATTGTAGATCAGTAAATTCCACCAGGGTATGGAAGTAACACAGAAACAAGAGAGCAGTTGTAAGTCTAATCCAGTTTCTCATGTAAGAAATAAGGTTTGCTTTGACTCAAGTAGTCCAGGGGAGGTGATGCTAAGCGGTCAGATATACTTTGAAGATAGAGTTTATAGGACTAATTAAAACATTGAATTTAGGGTACCAGAGAAAGAAGTGAAGAATGGCCCCAAGGTTTCTGTTTTGAACAACTAGATAAATCATTCACTGAGTTATCAGTTACTGAGATGAGTAACACCAGAGGACCATGGTTGTAGAAGAAAATCACAAGTTCAATTTTCATGTGGTAAATCTGAGATACCTAGTAAATACCCAAGTACATATGTACTGGCAGTTGAATATACAAGTCTGGAGCTAAAGCTAGTGACTGGAGCTGGAAATAAAGATTTGAGAGTCACTGATCGTACAGGTTTATCTGAAGCTAAGGGACTGAATGAAAACACTTAGGTAGTAAATTATAATGGTTAAAAAATTCTTGTATTTTTTAACTAATCCACAATAAAAAAAAAGCTGACATGTTTTAGGATACATAATTAACTACAAATTTATCTAATAAAGTCAATAACTATTCAGTGTTTCTATCCTCCTAACATGAGATGGATCTTAACATACTTAAATTACTGATTGAATACACTCAGCAACTATTGTTTAGAGTTTTAGCTTTAATCTTTAAAAAAATTTCCAAATGTACAAACATCCAAAACATACTTGTCATCTTTATAGTCAAAGGGTAATCAAATTTCCTGATATTTCATCTATTTCTTTGCTCACTACTGTTTCTCATATTCCACACTTTCCCTCTGTTTTCACTTTCTGCTGAAGTATATAAATATTATATACATCTATCTATCTATCTATCTATCTATCTATCTATATGTCTGTGAATACATTTGCTAAATTCTATAGACAATAAGCTGTTTTCATGTGCCTGAAAATTATTTTACTCTTGAAAGACACTTTGTTTGGGTATAAAATTATAGCCAGAAATATTTTCCTTCAATACTTTAAAGATATTTCCCCCACTATCTTTTGGCTTAACCATCTAGCTAAGAGTATCTGCTGTCAGCCTATTCTTTTGTAGTTTGTCTTCTTCTCTGTAGTTTTTAAGGTTATTTCATCCTTGATGTTCCGTAGTTTCCCTAGCATGCTTTGAGGACTAGATTTCTTTTTATTTATCCTGCTTATTAGATGAAGTAAAAATTCATGGGTTTCTTAATTTCTGGAAATTTCTCAGAATTAAGTTTTTATACTATCTCCTCCATTCTTTCTTGGACTTCCTATTGTGTAATGTTTAGTATTCTCAGTCTTTTTTATCTAAGCTGGTCTCCCATTTTATTTTTCTGTCTCTCTCATATTGTGTTCTGGGACAGTTCCTCAACATTATCTTCCATTTCACAAATTTATTCTTCAACTGTGTCCAGTCTACAGTTTTTCTCATTTACCAGCTTTTAAAAAAATTCAATGACCAGTCTAATTTATTCTTTTTATAATCGATTAGATTTTGTTTCATTTCTTCCTGGCTTTGTTTTATAATTCTTTTTAAAGCTGTATCGTCATTTATCTCTTTGAGTGTTTTCAGCATACTTATTTAATTGTCTCTGTCTTAACTGCTCTGTAAAAAGATTTTCATTTGGAAAGAATCCCTGCTCTGTTAATTCTGTTGGCTGACTTTCTTAGCATTAGACTTTTTTCTTCTGTTTTGGAATTATGTTTGCTCATTTTGAGTGGAAAATTTCTGTTTTTCTCTATCCTCACATCACTCTGACAGAGTTTTGTAGTTCCTTCCACCTAGTCCTCTAAGCTCCATTACCAGAAACAGGTTTCATGATTATATTTGGAGACTGTTATCCCCTGCAGAAGGGATCCTGCTAGATCCCTTCCAGGAGTCAATGGATAGCAAGGATCTACAGACCCTAAGCCCACAACTTCGAAAACGCAGTAGCCTCAGTCAACATGTAAATGGCCATTTCTTTCAATCTCCTTTTATTATTTGGCTATTTATTCCAATCTCCTTTCATTATTTAGCCCCACCTCTATCAATGCTCTCTCCCTTTCCCCACTACCCCCCAAAGACATACATTCTCTAGCTTCAAATAGAAAGTATAACTCAGTTTCACTGAATCACAACTTTTAAACTATTGAAAGTTCTAATTATATTATTATACCTTTCCCTGAAAGTTCTGATTATTTCCCTAAAAGTTTCCCTAAAAGTTGTGATTATATTATCATACCTTTCCCAGAAAGTTCCAAGATCCTTGCCACTATCACCTTCTTTTGAACTCAGATCCAATGGCTTCAGCTCCACTACACCCACTGTTTTGTGTTTATAGTCTAGTTCTTCTCTATGGAGATGTTTAGCTTACATTTGATCCTCGCCATGTCTGGGTTTTATCTTTTAATACTTTACCAATTGTTCCCATTTGTTTGGCACAGAAGGGATTTTAAAAATGTAAATTCACTGTGCCCTGTTTTACTAGAAAACAATTCTAGATTTTTTTTTATTGCATTTTAGGTTTTGGGGTACATGTGAAGAACATGCAAGATTGTTGTATAGGTAAACACATGGCAGTGTGATTTGCTGCTATTCTAGATTTAAAAAGAAATTATAAAATATAAAATATCTTGAACCTCTCCAAAGTTCTATAAGGCAGTGTGACCTCCACTTTCAATGAAGAAACTGAAGCTACAAGAAAGTTAAGTGTACTTTTATTAGTTATATAAATAATAAGTAATAAGGAAGTCAGGAATGTAATACAGATATGCTGACTCCCAGACATGTGCTCAATTTACTATAGAACTTAGTAATTTCTTGAAAATTTTTCCTAGCTTTTACTCAGATTCTCATATAGTACAACCAAGTTGAGTTTTCTCCATGTTCCCTAGGCCATTCAAACAATCAGATGTTCCAGTATTACCTCCCAAGTCAAGAATAACACTAAATTCAAAATATCTTTGCTGGTCCCTAATTAACCCATAGTTTTATCAATTCTCTGCCTCTCAGTCTTGGCTTCTTCCTTCTTTAGTTCTATTATTAGGCTAGAGCTAGTCAGTCTTTCCTAGCTGCTTACTTTTTCTCACTATTAATGAACATAATGAGATTAATTCTAAATATACAGGAAATTCCATTCTCCCCAGGTAATACCAAACTGCATGCCTTTATTAAAAAGTATTGACTGAGCATCTACTATGTGTCAAGTACCCCATGCTAAGTGTTAGAATTCAGTGATAAGCAAAAACAAACAAGGCCCCTGTTCTCATGGAACATTATACTCTAGAGAAAGAGAACAAATCACACAATTTAATGTAAATTTATAATTGTCACAATTGATATAAAGTAGATATATATGATATTCTAAAGGTCTATGAAAAAGAGGATAGGACTTTGTTGGAAAGGTTAAGAAGACTTCCTTGAGAAAGTAACTTTGAACTATAATCTAAGGAGAAAAAATTAACTACATGAAAAGAACAAAGTGTTTCTGGCTGAATAGACAGGATGTATAAGGGTCCTGATGTGAGTCAAAGTATTTGAGTATAGTGGCAAAAAGAAAGCACATGTTGCTAGAAAAGAAAAATCAAGACCATTATGTTAAGGTGTTTTGCCTCTATATTAAAAGAAATTACAAGCCATTGAAAAGGTTAAAGCAGAAGAGATGACAAATTGCATTTGAATTGTGAAGAAAATCAGTATGGCTACAATGTACACAATGGATCAAAAATGGGCTTGACTAGATAAAGGGGTGAACCAGTTAGGTCACTGTAGTAGATAAGGCCAGAAGTAATAGGTTGAACTACTGTGATAGTGGTGGAGATGGAGAGAAGCAGATGACTTTGAGAAATATGTAGGAGGTAAAACCAATAGGACTTGACAAAGGAGTGGCTACACTGTAAAGAGGAAGAAACTCACCCATTGAAAACAATTAGACTTCTGATTTGCAGAATTAAATGTATTCTACCTTCACTAAGAGGTAACAGAGGCAGCCAAAGATTGATTATGAGTTGGTTTTGGACAAAGTAAATTTGAAGGAGATGAGATGATGGGAGATGATGTTAAACATGTGTCTAAAGCCTAGAGGTTTGAATCAGAGATATAAATTTGCAAGTTATCTACACATAAGTACTGACTGCAATAAAAACATGGAGGAGATTATCTAAGGAAAAAGTGTAGAACAAAGAGAAAAAAAGAACTCAAAAGAAAGCCTTGCGAAATTCCAACTTTAATGACTGAGCAGAAGATTATAAACTTGCCAAGGAATGAGAGAAAATGAGAGAAAAATATCTAGAGAGGTGGGAGAAAAACCAAGAAGGCGTCATGTCACAGAGTCAAAAGAAAACCATAATTCAATAAAAAGGTAATTGTTAACAATATCAAATGCATAAAATAGGAATCTTTTTCTTTATCCAAATTTTAGGTCACAGTCAATACGGCTCCACTATAAATTCTTACTTTTCCAATTGTCTGTGTTTATATATACTTACTCAAAGTATTCATCAGAAGGCCACTGTTGTCTCGAAATCTATTATGACTGTCATCTATATCAGGAATCCTGTAATGTGTCATGGTAGGATGTCCTGAGACACAATTCCCTGTATCAGAAGTAGAGGATTTGCATTCTTCATCTTCTGAGTCACTAGAACTATCCTCACTACTTGAAGATGGTGAACTTTTGGAATCTGATGAGCTATCACAACTACTCATCTGGTCCATTAGACTAGCTTCTGCCTTCAGTTCTGAAAATAAGACAGAAATGAATAGATAGGTTAAATAAAAAATGTTAATAAATATAATAAAAATTGAATGTATTAGTTTTTAAGAAACTGTTGATGAATAACTAAAATCAAACCTACATTTATAGTACTTAAAAAGCATTTTATTAGAAAAACAAAACTCTTCTACCATCAAGCCTTACTTCTATGATTGGATTACAGAAACTAAAAGAGATAGACAAGATCTAAAACTAAACTCCACATTTATTTAAACCATTGTACTTAAATATACAGGTAACTCAAATACAAAGTAAATATTGTGAAAAACTATAAAAATTAAAATCTATTTTGGTAGAAACTGTCTTTAATTATTTTTTATTCCTTTAAATACATGTAATGTAATGTGATAATGTAACAGATGAACTTCATTCTTTTTTCTTGGTTTTCCTAGAGAACATTTTGATGAAGCATCTATAAGTTTCTCCCCTGCTCCCTTAATGAGGATTTAAAATATTCTAAGTAGTTTTGAAAAGCCAGTTCTCATCACAACTTTGGCTATAAATATTTCTATAGATAAAAGAATAATAATGATGTATTCTTTTGCTTGGTGTTTTTCAAGTTATTTTTAAGACACACAAAAAACTATAGTTGGGAAGGTCTTCAGCTACCATTTAGAACAACTTCATAATTTTATAAATGAGGGAATGAAGGTCCAGAAAGCCAAAAGTTGTCGGTTATTTGTGGGTGGAACCAAGTCTACTAACTTTCAAGTCAATATTTTCCTTTATGATACAAATGTCAAATAGTTGAACAAAATTTTTAAACCAAAAATTCTAGGTGAATAATACACTCAGTTAATACACTGCCATTTGATATCATCTTAGTATACTGCTACATTAAGTTAACTGATAATTTTTAGCCCTATTCTCCCTATTATAGACACACTGGCTTTCTTTCTATTATTTGACCACATTAAATTCATTTCCATCCTATGTTCTTTGTACTAGCTATTTCCTCTGCCTGGTATATTCTTCACCCAGATCTTTGGTTTACTTGTTTAATACATAATTTCCATAAAGTAAAATGTATAGCTAAATTTTAGCATATATAAAACTTGTATAACTACCACTGAGATCAAGATATAGACTATTTCCATCCCCATGAATATTCTCCTATGCTCTTTTCTAGTCACTACTCACCATTTTGACTTCTATTACCAAAGATTTTTATCTATTCTTGAATTTCACATAAATAGATTAACTCAGCATGTACTTTTTGGTCTGCCTTCTTTCAACATAATGTTTTTTATATTTATTCATGTTACTGAATTAATCTGCAGCCTATTCTTCTCTGCTGCTATGATATTATATTGTATAGATATACCACAAGTTAGGCACCTATTTTCTATTTATGGATATTTGGGTTGTTTTCAGTTTTGGATATTATGAAGAAAGTTGTTATGAAAATTCCTCTACAGGTCTTTTTGAACTTATATACACATTTCTCTTAGGTAGAAAGTTAGGAGAGAAATTTTCGAGTCATAACAGGCATAGGTTTAATTTCATTAAAAACTCCCAGTTTTCAAACTGGTTTCACATTCCAACCAGCAATGTTTGAGTCACAGGTGCTTCATATCTTCCCTTACTATGGCGCACACACACACACTTGGTATAGTGAGTCTGATGGGTGTACAATGGTATCTTCCTGTAGTTTTAATTTCTCTGACGATATGAAGCAGTGTTTTTCTCATATGCTTACTGGCCATTTGAATATCACCTTTTATGTAAAGCCTGTTCAAGTCTTTTGTCCATTTTTATATTTGATTGTCTTTTTCTTATTTATTTGAAAGAATTCTTTATAGCTAATTCTTCTGGCTATGAGCCCTTTGTTAGACATACGCATTTGTGAATATTTCTTCCCCCAAGTCTGTAGCTAGGCTTTTCATTTCACTATGGTGTCTCGAGGAGATTCCAGATCTCTGAAAGTCTGGCTCCTTCTTGAGTCAGTTTAAATGTAACCTTTTCAAAAAGTTCCTTCCTCCATTCTGCAACCCCCATTGCCTTGTTTAATTATCTTCAAGACTCTTATTTCTGAAATTCATTTGGATATTTATTTGTTTACTGCTTGTGTCTTCCCCACCCTCCCTCTCACCCTCATCCATACTCCCAAATATAATGTGAGAATAAGAATGTTGTCTTGTTCATGTTGTATAATTATTTTTATACAATGTTGGATTCAATATCCCAATATTTAACTGACAATTTTTGAGTTTAAGTTCATAAAAGATACTAGTTCAGGCCAGGCACAGTGGCTCACGCCTGTAATCCCAGCACTTTGGGAGGCCAAGGCGGGCGGATCGCTTGAGGTCAGGAGTTCCAGACCAACCTGACTAACATGGTGAAACACTCTCTCTACTAAAAATATAAAAATTAGCCGGGCATGGTGGCACGCGCCTGTAGTCCCAATGGGAGGCTGAGGCAGGAGAATCACTTGAACCCAGGAGGTGAAGGTTGCAGTGAATGGAGATCTGCCATTGCATTCCAGCCTGGGCGACAAAGCAAGACTCCATCTCAAAAAAAAAAAAAAAAAAAAAAGATACTAGTTCATAGTTTTCCTTTTCTTGTACTGTCTTTATCTGGTTTGGGTATTGGGGGTAATATTGGCCTCATAAATAGCTTAGAAATAGTCCTTCCATTTCCATTTTCCAGAAGAGATTACTTAATGTCAGTGTTAATTCTCTTTAAATGTTTGGTAGACTTCTAGAGGTCTGGTTATTTCTTTCTGGGGTGCTTTTAAATTACTAATTTAATTTACTTAATGTTGATAGAACTATTCAGATTGCTTACATCACCTTGGTTCAGTTCTGGCAGTTTTTAGCTTTTGAGAAACAAGTCCATTTCCTCTAAATTCTCAAATTTATGAGCAAAAAGTTATAACATTTCTTTTCTTTTTAGATAGGGTCTTGCTCTGTCACCCAGGCTGGAGGGCAGTGACACAATCATGGCTCACTGCAACCTCCTTCTCCTGGGTTCAAGCGATTCTCCTGTTTCAGCCTCTTGAGTAGCTGGGACTACTCAGGTGCACACCACCACACCTGACTAATCTAAAAAAATTTTTTTCTTTTTTATGTAGACAGAGTCTCACTGTGTTGCCTAGGCTTGTCTCAAATTCCTGGGCTCAAACAATCCTCTTGCTTTGGCCTCCCAAAGTGTTGGGGTTACAGGAGTGAACCACCACACCCAGCTTACCATTTCTTTATAATATATTTATTGGCTACTGGATCTGTAGTAAATTAATTACTTTCCTGATTATAGATAAAACTTGTACTTTACATTCCGGATATTAGTAATTTGTGCCTTCTGTCTTTTCATTTTTATCAATCTTACTAGAAGTTTATCAACAGTTTTTTCTGATGGCTGCCTTTTTGTTTCATTAATTTTCTCTATTGTTTTCAATTTAATTGATGCCACTTCTTATTTTCATTATTTGTCTCTTTTTGCTTGCTTTGGGTTTAATCTACTTTTCTTTTTCCAGTTTCCTAAAATTAATTGATATGGTAACTTTCCTCGCTTCTCGGATAAGCATTTAGTAAGATAAATTTCCCTCTCAGAACTTCTTTAGTTACATTCCACATATTTTGGCATGTTGTGTTTACTTAATACATTTAGTTGCATGTATTTTAATTTCCTTTGATGATTCTTCTTTAACCCATGGATCCTTTAGAAATGCGTTGTTTAATTTTCAAGTGTTTAGAGATTTTTCCCGTTGTCTGTTACTGATTTTTAGTTTGAATTCATTATGGTCAGATAAATAGTCTATATGACTTCAGTTTCTATAAATTTATTAAGATTTGTTTTATGGCTCAGGATATGGTCTTAGTAAATATTCCATGGGCACTTGAAACAAAATAGGTATTCTGCTGTTATGTGGCAAGTTATATATCTGTCAATTACATCCTGATGGTTGATTATGTTGTTCAGATTTCCTATAACTTTGTTGATTTTCTGTCTAATAGTTCTATTAGTTGCCGAGAGCAGAGTGTTGAAATATCCAGGCATAACTGTGGATTTGCAAATTTCTCTTTTCAGTTTTATCAGTTTTCACTTCATGTTTTTCTCAGTTCAGTTGATAGATATATACATATTTATGTCTTCCTGGTAAATTAGTCCTTTAATCATTATTATTATTAGAGACTGAGTCTCATTCTGTTGCCAGGCTGGACTGCAGTGGCGCAATCTCAGCTCACTGCGACCTCTGCCTCCTGGGTTCAAGCAATTTTCCTGCTTCAACCTCCTGAGTAGCTAGGTCTACAGGGACACACCACACACCCAGCTAATTTTTGTATTTTTAGTAAAGATGGGGTTTCATCATGTTGGGCAGGATGGTCTCCATCTCTTAACCTCGTGATCCGCCTGCCTTGGCTTCCCAAAGTGCTGGGATTACAGGCGTGAGCCACTACGCCTGGCCCCTTTAATCATTATTAATGTACCTCTTTGTAGTAATTTATTTTGTGATTTTTCCGAACTCCCATGGAGATCGGAGCAAAAATATAAGTTTTACTCTCTGCCACCCATGCTGGAGTGCAGTGGCATGATCTCAGCTCACTGCAACCTCTGCCTCGCAGGATCAAGAGATTCTCCTGCCTCAGCCTCCTGAGTAGCTGGGATTATAGGTGCGCCCCACCACACCTGGCTAATATTTGTATTTTTAGTAGAGACGGGGTTTCACCATGTTGTCCAGGCTGGTCACAAACTCCTGACCTCAGGTGATCTGCCTGTCTTGGCCTCCCAAAGTGCTGGGATTACATGTGTGAGATACTGTGTCTGGCCCATTTTGCTTTTAAGTCAACTTTATCTGGTATGAATACAGCCACATGTGCTTTTTAAAATTAATGTTTACATGGTATATATTTTCTATACTTTTACTTTCAAGCTACATATTTCATTAGTGTCTTATAAACAGCATATAGTTGAGTGTGCTTTTTATACAGTCTGCTAACATTTGCCTTTTAACTGGCTTAGACAACATATATTTAAAGTAATTATTGATATATGTTCGGGCTTAAGTGTGTCAATTTGTTATTTGTTTTCTGTTTGCTTCCTCTGTATTTCATTTCTCTGTTTCTCTCATCTTGCCTTTCTGTGGGTTACTTGAACCATTTTAGAATGCTATCTCAATTAACTTACAGAGTTTTAAAATGTGTCATTTTGTATATTTTTCTTAGTGGTTGCTTTGGGTTTTTCAATATATATGCCTGACTTGTCAATGCATTACCATTTCAAGTAAACCTCATATCCATGTAGGTCCACTTTGAAATATTATTTTGAGTATCAGAAGGTATTATCATTTTTGTTTCAGTTATCACATATGATTTAGAAAAGTCATGAGGAAAATCATAATCAATTATACTTATTGATAAATTTGCTCTTTCTGTTGTTGTTTCTGTCTTCCTGATACTCTCAATTAACGTTTCTCTTCTGTCTGAATGACCTTATACATCCAATAATTAAGGATAGTTTCCTAGGAACAAATTCTTTCAGTTTTCCTTTCTGAAGCAGACTATTTGCCCCTCATTACTGAAGAATCATTTTGGTAGATACAGAATTCATGCTTAACATTTTTATTTCTTTTAGCACTTGAAAAATATTATGCCACTTTCTTCTGGGCTCCATGGCTTCAGATGAGAAATCTGATGTTAACTGAATGGTATTCTTTCATAGGTAATATGTCATTTCTTTCTTGATTTCAACACTTTTCTCTTTGCCTTTAGTTTTCAGGTGTTTCATTATGATGTACCTTGGTATCAGTTTCTCGGGGTTTATCCTATTTGGGGTTTGTTCAGGTTTTCACATCTGTGGGTTTATGTCTTTCATAAAACTTGGGAAGTTTTTGTGCATATTTCTTTAAATGCTCTTTTAAACCTGCTCTCCCTCTTCTTTGAGACTCCAATGACACAAATATTGGAAATTTTGTCATTTTTCTACAGATTCTTGGGGATATGCGCATCTTGTTTCAGTCTATTTTCTATTTTCAGGTTGAGGGGATAATATACATCCTCAAGTAAACTGATTCTATCCACTCCCTAGCAATGAGCCTATCCAGTGAGTACTTTTGTTGTTATTCTATTTATCAGTTCTATAATTTCCATTTGATTCATAATTAAAAATTCTATTTCTCTAATGTGATTTTCTATGTTTTTTTAAATTAATTTAAAGGGAATTTATAACTGAACCATATTCATGATAGTAATTTAAAGATCACTGTCAGATAATTCTAACATTTGATTCATCTTGGTGTTGGTATCAGTTGATTATCTTTTCTCATTCATGTGATTCTCCTGAATCACAAATTATGGTACGACAGGTCATTTTCTTTTGTTTCTTTTTTTTTTTTTTTTTTTTTTTTAGGTTGGGTCTTTTTCTTTTTCCCAGGCTGGAGTCATGATCTCGGCTCACTGCAACCTCCACCTCCTGGATTCAAGCGATTTTCCTGCTTCAGCCTCCCGAGTAGCTGGAATTACAGGCACTCACCACCACACTCAGCTAATTTTTGTATTTTAGAGAGATGGGCTTTCACCATGTTGGCCAGGTTGGTCTCAAACTCCTACCTCAATTGATCTGCTCACCTTGGCCTCCCAAAGTGCTGGGATTACAGATGTAAGCCACCGAACCTGGCCACGACAGGCAATTTTCTATTGTATCTTGGATATCTTGGTTTTTATGCTATGGGAGATCTATATCTTACTCAAATTTTTAATTTTAGTAGGCAATCACTCTGTTTAGATTTAGCATGCATATTCTTGCCTAAAGTTGTAGGTTGTGGTTTAAATGACGATCATGTTTTCAAAGCTTTTGCAGTATTGTCTTGGTCTTCTTAAGTAAATTTCTAGCAGCTGGCATCCCCAAGGATCCCTGCTGGTGCTACATAAAGGAAAGAAGTGACTTCACCAGGCAAGGAAATGTGGTGCATATAAATGGGGAAAGGGAGTCTCTTGCCTGGGATGAAGAGTGTTTCCTGAGCCAGGCAATTTTTTTGTGATTGGCTCCCCTGCTTGGAGGGGTGGAGGAAAGGAAAGTGCTTCCTAGCAAAGTGTTTGTTGTGGCAGAATTCCCCCTTATTGGTGCCATCCAGTCTCAAGATGTCTTTAGATGAGAGAGAAGAATCTTAACTTAATAGGCCAAGGGGGCAGGTCTGGGAGGTAGAGTGGTATGAATAGCCTTCCCAGGCTGAATGCTTATCATAATGGAATTCTACTTGCAGGGACCTTCTGGCCATACAGTGTCTCTGATGGAGGAGGGGAGTCTCAGGCCAGGCATACAGGGAGAACACTTCAAGGACTGCAACCACTCATTGTGGTATCATCCTATTTGCTGGTACTCCCAGCTGTGAGTTGTCTCCAGGTAGGGGAGTGGATTTCTAGATCCATATAATTTCTTTAAAAAAAATTTTTTTTCTGTATAAATGGGGTCTTGCTATCTTAAACTCCTGGCCTCAAATGATCCTTCCACCTCAGCCTCCCAAAGTGCTGGGATTACAGGCACGAGCCACTGCACCTGGCCTCTTTCTTATCTCCCAAATTCAATTCTAGATAGTTCAAAGATGTAAATATAAAAATTAAGCTATAAAAATACTAGTACAACTGCCAGACATAAACTTGAAAAGATAATTCAACCATTGTAACAGTAGTCAGTGGCACAGTAGGGTAAAGAAAGTATTTTATAGAATGTAATCTATGGAACATGTTATACAAATATGTCAAGGTAAATGAAGTTCAATTCTCATACTAAGTTAGAAATAGAAAGCTTTATGCTTGGAGATCATGTTAACTTATCCCCTACAACTTTCTATTTTTTTTTAATTTTTAATTTTTGCAATTTTTTAATTGAGATGAGGTTTCGCCATGTTGCCTAGGCTGTTCTTGAACTCCTGGGCTCAAATGATCCTCCCACCTTGGCCCCCGCAAAGTGCTAGAATTACAGGCATGAGCCACTGTTCTTTTCTCTGAGTTATGCTTCAATGCAATGTTTTTATTAAGGCCTCTGTTAAAAAATGCCACATGGAAGAACTTCTACTTGTACTGTAAAATTATTGTTGAGGACACTATATAAAGTTTAATGCTCCCTAGAAAGGGTTCCATATGATGAATTCCTTTCAGAATTTAGTAACAGGGAAAAGTCTGATTCTTTGTAACCTATCAGATAATACAACATATGCTGCTGTGTCTCCCTTTTTTCGTCTTGATGGCTAGAAGCTCAGAGCTAAATAAAAAAAAATTTTTTTTAATTTTTTTTTTTTTCGAGACAGGGTCTCACTCTGTCATCCAGGCTGGAGGGCAGTGATACAATCATGGTTCACTGCAGGCTTGACCTCCCCATGCTCAAGTGATCCTCCCACCTTGGCCTCCCAAGTAGCTGGGACTATAGGCATGCACCACTACACCCGGCTAATTTTGTATTTTTTGTAGAGATGGGTTTTTACCATGTTGCCCAGGCTGGTCTCAAACTCCTGAACTCAAGTGATCCATCACCTTGTCCTCCCAAACTGCTGGGATTATAGGTGTGCAGCACCACACCTGGCAATTTAATGTGTTAATGATTAGCAAATTTGCTTCCTCTTCCTCTTCAATATCTTAATTTTCTGTACCAATATTTTATATTCATTTATGTAAAGACATCATAATTTAAATCCATTTGAAGGCAGGCATGATGTAAAAAAAATAACATTTAAAACCCCTTGTACCGCCAAGGGTTCTGGACTTGTCTTTCTTATTATATGTATATGAGCTACTAATCCATTAGAGAATGAATGCTATACTGGGCTTTGGGCTTAGAAAGGAACAATGGAATTGGACAGCTATGTGCAAATTTTAAGAAGGCAAATCGAAGAAGCAAATATACTTTAGTGACCAGGGTCTCACTGCAACCACAATTAGTACAACATTAATATCCACACTGCAGCTAGAAAAAAAATGGAGATTTAAGTTTTCTTATTTTTCAAAAGGACTGTGCCTCCCTAAAAATACCTCCCTGCTAAGAAGTAAGTAGCAATTCAGAAAAAGTTGCCTGCATATTCTGCTTACTACATCTCCTTATTTCCCTATGGAATTGATGACATCTTAGACATCTACAGTCTGGCCATACATAAAAAATTTTCACAGGAAGATGCTGTGAGGAATTGAATTTGAGTCATCACAATTGCCAAAAAGAAGAAAACTCCAGTTATAAACATCTAAACAGTCATTTTTTTACCCTGAATAGTAATTTTCAATGATACAAATTATCTTATATGGATATTGCTTACATAAAGCTAAAAATCATAAGCTATATCCTTACCCCAGAAAAATGCATAATTATAAAAAATATTATACTCTCAGTAAAAGTTTATAATTAATACCACTGTTAATTAAAATGAAAAAATTCACTTAAGATTTCTTTTCTTTTTTTGAGATGGAGTCTTACTCTGTTACTCTGTTACCCACGCTGGAGTGCAGTGGTGTGATCTCAGCTCACTGCAACCTCTGCCTCCTGGGTTCAAGTGATTGTTCTTCTTCAGCCTCCCGAGTAGCTGGGACTACAAGCATATACCACCATGCCCAGCTAATTTTTGTATTTTTAGCAGAGACGAAGTTTCACAATATTGGCCAGGCTGGTCTCGAACTCCTGACCTCATGATCTGCCTGCCTTAGACTCCCAAAGTGCTGGGATTACAGGTGTGAGCCACCGTGCCTGGCCTTAACATTTCTTAATTATCTCTTATAAAGGGTTGTCACATATACTTAGATTTTACCTCTTTCAATATCATCTATTGGAGATGCTGGGGACATCTTATCTTCAGATGGAGAATGTTTTACAAGATTGGGAGTCCTGGCTGAATTCCACATTTGTTGTTGCTGTTGTTCTTTGCGATACTGAATTTTACTGCTTCCTTCAACTCTGCAATTAAGAATATGAAATATTAAAACAGGTATGACAGCAATGTAACAAAAATTTCAACTTACAAAGTTACTAAAATTGACCACTTATTCTTTTCCTAAACATCTTTATAATAATATTCCAGAATTAAAACATTAATTTAGTTCATCATTTAACAAGTATTTGTCAGGTTCTATTTCTGTGATACACATGTCCATTGAGGGACACAAATAAAAACAAAAACAAAACCCGTGCCAGGCTTGGTGGCTCATGCCTGTAATCCTAGCATGTTGGAAGGCTGAAGTAGGAGGATTACTTGACCCCAGGGATTCAAGACCAGCCTGGTCAATACAGTGAGACACTGTCTGTACAAAAAAATAAAAATAAAAATATTAGCTGGGCATAATGATGCACACCGGTAATCCCAGCTACTTAGGAGGTTGTGGGAGGATCGTTTGAGCCCAGCAGTTTGAAGCTGCAGTAAGTTATGATTGTACCACTGTACTCCAGCCTGGGTGACAGAGTGAGACCCTGTCTCAAAAAACAAAAACAAAAATCCAGGCTGGTACAGTGGCTCATGCCTATAATCCCAGCACTTTGGGAGGCTGAGTAAGGAGAATGGCTTGAGGCCAGGAGTTCATGACCAGCATGGGCAATATAGCAAGACCCTATATCTATTTAAAAATAAATAAAACAACAACTGAAAAAAAAAAAAGCCATTGCTTAAATTGAACAGATAAGGCATTCACAAATGACTAAAATAAAAGGAAAAACATAAGTGTATAACAGGTACAATATATTCCCTAAGTTCTAAGATTATCATTTCTGTTAAAACCAAATCACTTCTACGTTTTCCATTCATAACTTAAGATAGGCATAATAAAGGAGATTCATATACTTTTCTCTCAACATCTTTAAGAAGAGTATATAACAAAAATATGCTTGATTTTTGCCTCTCCCATTTCCAGTCACCAAATCCTATCAGTTCTTCCTTCAAAAAGTCTTTCGGCTCTTATTTTTCTCTTCATTCCTGCTCTTAAAACTCCTGGTTTATATGTTTTTCTGGTTCCTACATTGTTTTCATTTATTCAGTTTCTCTACTGAATTAATGTTTTAAAACAAACTATAAACATGCCAATCCCTGGTTAAAAAGACTTTAATACGTAACCACTACCAGCAAGATAATGTCCTAATTTCTTAGTTAATATGGATGGCATTAACCTCAACCAACAAAATTACAACCTTACCTCTAGCCCAATATCAACATCGCCCCCTACTTTCCAAAACATGTACACAGGTACAGAGATAAACCTCTGCTCTGTTCAAATAGGTCTTACTCACTGGCCCTGAATAAGTCAGATATATTTCTGCCTTCAAACTTGGCTTACATCGTCGTCTCCTTTCTAATCAATTAAATTGGTATTTCACAAACTTTCTTCTAGTATGAATCACAGCAGGGCATGAGTGGTAGAGGTGAGGGGATATTAAAAAATAGAGTTTCCCAGGATCCTTCCCTGATTTAAGGTTAGATTCAGGAATTAATTTTTAACAAGCAACCAAGGTAATTCTTATGATCCCAACCTCCTCTTAAGGTATATCAAAAATGCCTCCCTGAATGTTCCAATCTACCATTACTTCTCCTTTTTCTTAATTCCTAGAGCAACTTCTGTCTATGCTATTTGCATGGCTTTTAGAGCAAATATCCTTATATTACACGGCAACTAATGTGTTACCTGTTTCCAAAAAGGATTTGAGATGAGTATATTCTCCTATTGACTTCTTAAATGGAATAGTCTGTTTATCTGATTAAAATGCAGAAGTTTTGAGGTGTTTACAAGCTTTCCTTTTTCTAGTACCTTACACATCATAAGTATTCGATAAATTTTTACTAATGAAGATGAAATTATTTTAGAGAATGTACAATGGCTCCTTTCAATCCAGCTATATGAAATTATCTACAACAGAATAAAAAGTATACCTATACCTATAGAAAACATTTAGAAGCAAAACAAGCTTTTATATATCACAGGGTGATGTGGTAAAAAGCTTTTGGCTTAGGATCGCCACCAAATTTAAACTTAGAAAAAGATTAAAACATTTTTGTACCACACAGAAATAAGCCCCTTGTATAATAATGTCACTAAATACAGTCAATTTTTCTTGACATTTCCTTAGAAATTTATGTTTATAATATAATTTATTTCATTAAACCACATACCTTGTTTTTTTTACAGTGATGTTGCTGCTGAGTTTTTCTAGTCGACATTCTCCAGTATCATGGTTAATAATCAAAATGCATTCTTTTAAGTAAGGTTTTTTTGAACCTTTGAAAACAGTTACTGGTGGAGTTGAACCCTGTTTAAAAAGTTAATTATTATTACTGAAAATTTACCATAGGAATTCAGTTGGGAGGGCCTTTGAAATCTTGATACTGTGTTTCTCCTTCTATGTTATACTTCAAGTCACCTATAAAGGACCTAAATTTACTACCCTGGATCTAAAAAGAGTGTAGTAAAAAATACAGCTGAAGATAGGCTGAAATCTCAAAGCTGCTATCATTGAGGAAAGGGAAGAGAGGAGGTACTCACCTTGGGCCAGTAAAGATTTGTTTCACTGGCCTGTAATGAGCAATTGAGATTCAATTTGAATATAACCAAACCAATATATTTTATAAGGAAACAGAGCTTTGAATCATATTTTCTATCCCTCTTCTTCTTTTTTCTTTTTCCTTTTTTTTTTTTTTTTTTTTTTTTAGAGAGTCTCACTCCGTTGCCCAGGCTAGAGTGCAGTGTCGCAATCTCAGCTCACTGCAACCTCTACCTCCCGGTTTCAAGTGATTCTCCTGCCTCAGCCTCCAGAGTAGCTGGGACTACAGGTGTGGACCACCACGCCCAGATAAAATTTTGTATTTTTAGAAGAGATGGGGTTTTACCATGTTGGTCAGGCTGATCTTAAACTCTTGACCTCAAGTGATCACCCACCTCAGTCTCCCAAAGTGTCGTGATTACAGGTGTGAGCTATCGCATCCGCCCTCCTCCTCCTCTTTCTTATTGCTTTGTAAGTTTAATTTTTTAAAATCTGGCATTTTCTTAACATAGCACCTCCCTATGCAGATTAAGCAACACCTCTTACACTAAACCCACTAATTAATTTTAGCATAATTAAAAGTAAGTGAGATAAGCAGACATTATGTGCTTAATGAGGTAATATGAAAGTACACAGCACCATCCATAAAATACTCTTGCCAAAAACCCCAAAGAATTTAATTCTTATCAAACCCCAGAGAATATATAGTCCAGCCTACCCTTAGAAATATAACTATCAGTTTATAGAAAATAGGAGGAATAGAGGAACAAGTTAAATATATCCAGATTGAAGTAATTTGAAGTCCAGAATGTAGATATATTCTCTAGGACAGGTAAAACAGTTTTTCCAACAAACCAATGGCATGAAAAAGGGAAGAGAGTCAAGTGCAGGTACTGGAGTACTTATGGAGGATGCAGGGTGCTGAAGCAGGAGGACAGCTTGAAGCCAGGAGTTCCAGGCTTCAGTGTCATAATCACACCTGTGAATAGCCACTGCACTCCAACCTGGACAACACAGTGAGACCCTGTCTCTAAAAAAAAATATTAGAAAAGGGGTGGAAAGGAAAGGAAGCGACTTTTAAAGAATAAAAGAGACAAGAATATAATATTCAAATACAACATAGAAATCTTATTTGGATTCTAGTTAGGATATTTTACAGACAAATGTCTGTAAAAACACATTTTTGAGATCATCAAGACATTGTGATTATGGACCACGTATTATTATTAATTATGTTATTTGTGATAATAGCACGGTGCTTAGATAAAGGCAGAAATGTCTTTATTAGTTAGAGATACATAAATAAGCATTTATGAAATGACACATTTTCTGGAATTTGCTATAAAATATGCTGGGGGAATAAGTGGTAAGAGAATAGATTAGAAAAAAAGCAAAATGTTGATAATTGTTGAAGCTCACTGATGGGTACATGTTGTTCATCATACTATTCTTGTTGGCATAAAAGAAACCTAGATCATTACAAATAAACTACATCTACTTACATATCCTCCCTTATCTTCGGTCCTTGCCCTATCAAACCTGAAGGAATTTTATGTTTGTCATTCTTTTGCTTTATCCCACATATCTGTATTTCTAAACAATTATTTATGCATGTTTGTTTTTGAAGTTTTTAAAAGTAAATTAAATTTTAATGGATTTATTATAATAATTTTGCCAAATATTACAAAAGTAATAATAGTACTGTTAGATCAGGTTAGAAAAGGATGACTTTTAACAAGACTAAAGGGCACATCATGTTAAAGTTAATCACTAGAGATTTACTAAATGACCACTAGGAGGAGTATGAGATAAATTTGGTAATTGAAAATGCCGTAAAAGATGGGTAGGTTAGAGATTTCAGAAGGTACAGAGGGAAAACTATAAACGTAAAATAAAGGAACAGTTTTTTGTTTTTACCTCTCCCAAAGACTAAAGTAATCTACAGAAAATCAAGAATATACAACGCATAGATGAAGATGTGTCTGGGCTAGCTCTAAAATGATTAGATGTGGAGCACTTACTTGAAGCCCTGGTAAGCTAAAGAGTCAGGAGCATGATCATAAGAAAACAAAGTGGGTCTACTTGGCTGGTTAAGTACATTTTTCAGATGTGTTGACTGAAACAAGTAAGATTCCCCAAAATAGTTACCTAAGGACTCCAAATTATAGTTGATGAGAGATTTGTGTAATATATTCTTCTTAATGATATCCGTAGTTTTACTTAGAATGGAATACATCTAAAAATTACAGTGTATTATTGTTCTCTGGGCTCCTGAAAATAGGAACTAATCATTACTTTTTAAAAAGTGCTCTCAGCACCTGAAGAAGTACTAAAACCTTTATAAATATCCAAGAAATGTTAAATACGAACAATATAGACAATTTCTGGTCATAAGTAACAAATTTAACAAATTTCTCATAATCTCTACACCAGCCTTCTACATTTTGAGCAAGTTTTATAAGTGTAAACTTTCTCCCTTATTAAATTGAGCACCATTCTTAACTTTTAAGCTTTAGTTTCTGTCCATTCCCTTATTAAATACCCCAAGAAAGGAAACTATTAAAGTACCAGATAATACTAAGCATATGAGCTATCATTACCTCTAAATAACTATTGAATACCTCCTATCAGCTCCATGTTCACTGTAATTATCCACCTTCAATTGCCATTTACCTAGATTATTGTTATTCTCCTTCCTACTCTCTCCCCAATTTTGTTCCCCATTCTGTAAGCAGGCAAATCTAAGCTTATTGTTCCCATGCTCAAAAATCTTTCTGCACTTAAAAAACTGTGTATTCAGGATAAAAGCCATATTCCATAAACCTGCACATAGGGTCCTCCATGATCTTCTTATCTACTCTCCAACTTTCTCCATCTGCCACTGTTTATAAACCACACAGAATTGCTTATAATTGGTTTGCATGAATGACTTACTTAGGATGGTCAACCAAAAGACAAAACTGTAAAATAAAATATAAAATAAATGAGTGGGCCACGTGTGGTGACTCATGCATGTAATCCCACCATTTTTGATGGCTAAGGTGGGAGGATCACTTGAACCCAGGAGTTTCAGACTAGCATTGGCAACATAGGGTCGCTACCAAAAAATTTAAAAATTAGCTGGGTGTGGTGGTGCGCATTTGTAGTACTAGCTGCTTGGAAGGCTGAGGCAGGAGGATTGCTTGAGCCCAGGAGTTTGAGGCTGCAGTGGGATATAACTGTGCCACTTCACTCCAGCCTGAGTGAGAGAATGAGATCTTACCTATAAAAAATAAATAAAATAAGTGAGTGCATATGTTATTTGAGCAAATGAAAGGACTCTTAACCATACAACAAAGGACTTAGAACCAACACTTCAACATAGGGGAATGAAGAGAAAATAGTAGTGATAAAAGAAATCTGGCTATTTATATATACTTAACTTTAAATGGATAAAAATAGACTTGGCTGAACACGGTGGCTCACGCGTATAATCCCAGCACTTTGGGAGACATCACCTGAGTTCAGGAGTTTGAGACCAGCTTGGTCAACATGGTGAACCCCCATCTCTACTAAAAATACAAAAAATTAGCTGGGTATGGTGGTGGGCACCTGTAATCCAGCTACTTGGGAGGCTGAGGCAGCAGAATTGCTTGAACCCTGGAGGTGGAGGTTGCAGTGAGTCAAGATTACATCACTGCACTCCAGCCTGGGTGACAGAGCAAGACTCTGTCTCAAAAAATAAAAATAATAATTTTAAAAATGGATAAAAATAGACTGAGAATGATAATGTAAGAGCTAAATAAGTATTCTTGACATGAAGATATTCTGCAATGTAATACAATTGGCAAAAACGTAGGTGTTTGGCTGAGGTGGAAAGAAAGAGAAGTGAAAGGGAGGAGGAAAATGTCTTATTATTAAGGGATAATAAATGTATTCTAAAAATCTCACTTATGGAGGTAAGGGAATAATGCAGGAGCTCAGTTTTCATATAAGAAAATAAAATCATATGCCTCATTATGAAGACCAGGAAAGGAAAATAATCAATAATGGAATGGAAAAGTATACTAGTACTCCCAAAGTAATGAGTAAAAAAAAAAAAAACAAAAACAGAACTAAAAAAAAGAAAGACAAAAGGAAAAAAAAGCAAGGTTGGTAAAACTAATAAAGAATATAAAAGAAACAACAAATATTTAAAAATTAATAAACTAGAAAATCAAAGAAATACAAATCAAGTATATCAATTTTGAACTAAATGTGAATAGACTGAAAAGACAGTATTCTCCCAATAAAAACAGAAAGTGTCAAACTGGGTTTAAAAATAAAACAGTATATTATATTAACAAAAAATATACTTCATACCAAATGCCAGCTAAATAAAAGGAAGACACACTAAGATTGTATGAATACACAAATGAAAGAAAGTAAAGGCAGTTATATAAATGCCAGCGAAATAAAAGGAAGAGACTAAGATTCTATGAACACACAAAAGAAAGAAAGTTGGATATATATATATATCTCAAAGAAGTAGGCACTTAAGCTTAAAAACACAAAAATAGGACAAAGATTTTATTTTGTAATAATCAAA